GGTGACTTCCCTCCAACATCCAGGGTCATCTTTGAGGAGCCTCTTTGGAAGCTCTGCGGTGTTAGGAAGCTCTCTAGTTGATCATTCTGTGCACCGATCTCTTCTGGTCACTTTGTGATCATGCAAAGCGAGTTTAATTGCTTTATAATTGAAAGTGAAAGATCTTCAGATACTTGAAGGCAGCTGCCCTCGGCCTTTACAGGAAGCTGCGCTCAGCCCCTTTGGTCATTCCCCATGTCGTGCTGAAGTCTGCAAGCCCTGGAACCTCTGCTTGTCATTCCGAATGTTCCCTGGCTGGGTAAGAATGTTAAAATTTATGAAGACTAGAAAGAGATCTGTAAAATTATAATTAATTTAGTGGTAGCAAATCTAGTGACAAATCCTATTTCAGTGGTGTGGTCGAGTCCCTGTCAAGTTCCACCCTAGGGAGGAACATGTTGGTTCCTCAAATGCTTTAAAACTCATTCCAGCAGTTTGATTGGGGGAAATGTTTCCATTAGTCAGAATCTGGAAGCTGGACGTGGGCCGCAAGTGTGCCTGACACCCACTGACATTTGCTGAGTCTAAGTAAGTGCCAGGCATGTATACTTCTTAGGGTAATTATGAGCTAAAATGCTTTAGGAAGAAAGCAAGCTGTAATCGTGCTGAAGTCCTCCCGTGAGGGTTTTAGGGTGTGTGTTTCATATACTCAAAGACGTACAGCTCTGTCCGCAGCAGTTTCTCTATTTTCGGCCACCCCGCTTTCTTGGATAATACGCTCTTGGTTTGTGCCCTGTGTAATTAAGCCAGCGCATTGCTTTCTGTTATCTTATCTAGAAAGATAACTCTGGTTGTATTTTCAGGCTCTTTCTTCTCAATTTTCTGTATCTGCGTTCCTTTCGATAAGGGTTTAAGTTAAAAATGAACCAGAAGGTCCACGGGAAGGCATTTACACAGCTGCGAAACACCGCAGGCTTTCATTTTGCCTTGTGACTGAGGCCGTGATGACATTTCGGATGAATCTTTTAAAATATGTGAGGCTCTCGCTGTTTGGCGGCGGGGGGCGGTTCCCGTTCCGGTTGGAAATGGAGCTGATCCTAATGGGTGAGGTCGTGGGCCGTTTACACGCATCGTTAATGGGTCCCACTTTTTTCACCTACGTGTGCTACTTGGCTTTTCTTACACTGTAACTGGGAAAGGGATTATGCAGTAACTCCTGTCATGGCAACGTCAAGGACGGCTTGTCAGGTTTTTGTGTTCTTTGTTTTCCACGTAGGACTCGCTTCCTTCTGTTTTGTTTTCTAGCGGCAGCGGGGGAAAGCTTGTTATTTACGCCAAACGTCCCGAGTAGAATTGGCCTAGAAGGGAAGGGTGTTTTTCTACGCAATAGCAGTTTCTAAGTAATGAGTGAGAAGATACTATGTGAACAATCCCCACCCCCAAAAGAGCAGATTTAAGGGAGATAACAATGAAGTGAATGTGCGATCTTGATGAGATCCTCCGTCAGGCCCACCAACCGTATGAAATGAGAGAATCGTGGAAATTTGAATAGGAACTGGGTATGAGACCTTCAGGGGCTGTATTATTTCCAGGGTGGGGTTGGGGAGGTAACGTGGACTGTGTTTATGTCAGGAAGATGCCCATCATTTTTAGAAATGCAGACATGTAGTCTGCGATTTGCTTTAAAATGCTTTAAAAAAGGGCGGGAAAGTTGGGGGGGGGGCGGATAAAAGGCGCAGACTGAAGTCTTGGTAGCTGTTAGGACGTGTTGAATGACCGTTACGGGGGTTCGCTATCCTCTTCTGTATGTTGGAAAATTTTTATAACAAATTCTAAAGGCAGTAGAGCAGATGGGTAGGTGGGAGCATCACGGTTCTATTCCTGCAGGGCTGGCGAAGACCCGAGTGTCCCAATGCCATGTGTAAGAGCATCGGTGACTTAGGATATACGTGCCTGTGACAGCTTCGCGCACAGATGCAGGGCGCAGTTCAGCTCCAGTGACCTAGACTGAAGGGAGGTGGCGCCTTTTTGGAAACTGCATCCGGCGCATTCGGAGGGAGAGACCGATGGAGCCGACTCGGCTGTCACTCAGCTTCCTCAGTTACCGTAACCCACTGCCAGCTCCGTCGCATCCCTACCTCCTAGCTCCCCCTCGATGACCCTGAAGCATTATCCAGACAGGACGTATCGTTTCATCAGTAGATAATCCTGCACGTTTTCCTAAAAGACAGGAACACTTTTAAAATACCAGAACGTAAGCAGACTATGAGGAGGGGCAATTAAGGCTTCCTTAATACCCTTAAATGTTCAATCTGTATTCACATGTCTCCCTTTTGTACAAGATTTTTTTGGTACTTGAACTGAGTTTTAAATCAGGTCCACACACTATGCCTGATTGTTATTTCTTTTAAGTCTTTTTTGAACTGTAGGTTCCCCATTCGTAATTTTCCCTCTTGAAATTTTTCGTTAAAAGAAACCAGGTCATCTGTTGTGTCGAGTTTCCCTAGGATTTCGCTGATTGCATCCTTGTGATAATTTTTTTTTTTTTTTAAAAAGCAGCTTTATTGAGGTATAATCACCATAAAATACACTGTACATATTTCAAGTATAAGGTTTGGTAAGTGTTGTTTACACCTGTGAAACCATTACCAGAATTAAGATAGTGAACATACGCACATGTCCCCCTTCCAACGATTTTCAGGTTCTCTGACACCGGCCCCGGTGTTCTGCCGTTCAGTTCAGTTCGCACACTACCAACCCCGAGTTGGCACAGACCCCCTAGGTTAGGGGCTCAGTCCCACAAGAGTGGCCCCCTTCATATAGCAGCTGCAAATGAGGTCCTCAGTTTACCTGAATTTCTGCCTGGCTCACTACAAATTTGGGGTTCCCATGACCTTCCTCTTTGGTTTGATATTTCACTAGAATGGCTCACAGACCTCCAGAAAGTGTTACACTTAGGATTTGTTTTATTGTGAAGGGTACAACCCAGGAACTGCCCAATGGCTGTTATACAGGGCCAGGTCAGGGAGGAGGGAGCCCAGAACTTTCTAAAGGAAAATCTAAGTTAACCATCTTCGCGACCTTGGGATGTGAAAGATTTCTTAACACAGACTGTCCACCAGAAAAAGAAATCAGCCACCTGGAGCCCATCCACTGGATACGTCTGCTCGTAGAAGGGCTTCGTGGAGACAACCAAGACGCAGCGTGCAGACTTGGAGAAGATAGTATCGTCACCTAATCTGACACAAGACTTGTCTCCAGGCTACATACAGACATTTTACAACCGGGTAGTAAGACAAGCAGCTCAATGAAACGACAGGCAAAAGATTTCACAACACACCTCACCAGGGATGGGGGGGGGAAGGCCATGGGAACTTCACCCGTCGTTGGTGGGCGTGTAACAGCGGACGGCCAGTCTGGAAGGTAGCTCAGCACTTTTTAGCAATAGTGTCGAGTATGATGTAGCGTGTGGCCAACCATTTCACGTCTGGATATCTACCCATGAAAAATGAAAATGGGCGCCCAGTAGGAGAAAAGACTGACACGCCAATACTTTGAGCAGCTTTACTCGTAACAGCCGCCGACGGGAAACAACCTATGTGTCTGTCGACAGACGGACGGATAAGCAGATGGTGGGATGCAGGGACATGCCACTTGGCGACACGGAAGAACTAGCTGGTTGTGCGCTCAGCAGCATGGAGGAAGCTTGCTCCTGCCCGGCGAGAAGCCAGCCACAGAAGACAGTGCGTCGTAGGACTTTATTTATATAAAGTTCTCGAGCTGGAGTGAGTCACCTGTATTAGCAGAAGGGAGATCAGTAGTGGCCTGGACCCTAGACTATGGGGAGGTTGATTGCAAAGAGGCACCTTTTGGGGTGGTAGAAACACGTGAGATCTTGATTAGGATGGTAGTTATCCGTGAAACACTCCTCTGGTGCATATACATTTAGTTATATATAAATTATGTCTCAGTTTGTTTTAAAAAGGGGGGTGGAGTGGGAAAGCAGTGCCGAATTCCTGCTGGAGATTTGGGCGATAGAAATTCAATTTTATACTTTCTATTTGGGTAATCTCTTTTGGGGTTCCCTTAGGGAATAGCCCCTCCTGCCCCGATTTTTCTGCCTCGCTACTCCTGTGACACATCAGAGTTCGGGGCGTGTGGTCGGTTTCTGGGCTCTCTGTTCCGTTTCATTGGCCAACTAGTTTACCCAGCCTTAATTCTTTAAGCCTCATCACAAGCCCTGTTACCGTCATTGGATTTCTTCAGAAATGCTTTGGCTGTTCCCGAGCCTGTGTTGTTTTGCAGGCGTTTTACAAAGAGCTGCTCTGTTTCTACGCCCCGTGAAAATCCCCGTTGGAACACTGGCCGGGGGCTGTATTGATTTTATAGATAAGTTCGGGTAGACTGAGTTTCTGCAGTTCAGAACTGAATCTTCTCTCTCGTAACTGCGGTGCATCTTATCTTTTCATTTGTTAAGACCTTCGTTAACGTCTCTCAGTCCAATTTGTCATTTTTTTCCCCTGCGAGGTTCCTGCACGTGTTTTGGATTTATCCCAAGGCATTTGATGTTTTTTATTTTATTGTAAGTGAAATCTTTCTCCTGATTATGTTTTCTGGCAGGTTTTTTTGTTGATGTGCAGAAATGTGATTTAAAAAAAAAAAATTAATGATATATCCGGGGAATCTGAGCTTTTGCTTTCAGAAGAAGCTCCTTAATCGACGAGCAGAATCTGTCGTGTGTGCGCACGTGCACTTGCACAGACTTTGGACGTGCACTTTCCCCAGGTCCTTAAGTTATTTTTTTTGCAGGCGAGCCTCTGCGTGTGAGGTTGGCCCTGGGTCAGAGGAGGGGGTAATGGCTGGAGCTGTGAGGGCCCCAGCTTTACGTCGAGCAGCGGGGGGGCGGCCCGTCAAGCCAGCATCCTTGAGTTATAACGTGTTCGCCGTTCTAGCGGCGGTGACGATGGTTACGCGTGGTGCAGGCTGTAACTGTTAAAAACGTGTCATTCTCTTTTAGTATCCGGAGTGTGATGCAGAAGTATCTTGAGGAGAGAAACGAAATAACCTTTGACAAGATTTTCAATCAGAAAATTGGTAAGTCCTGCTCGCTCGCGCAGCACACTGTAACGTCATTAGCGCTGTCGGTGACACGCCGGTCGTGCATGCGTGCAGTGCCCAGCGCTTTGCGCGCTTTACACGCCAGGCTGGGAATGGAGGAAGCCTCACGTCACGCATCAGACACTTAATGGCCGCGTACATCCTCAGTGGTGTGTCTTGTGCATAAGCTGGTGGGAAACAGACCAGTTTGATCAGAGGTTTTAAGGACCTCGGATCGGAGGTTGTCAGCTTCTCTCAATGCCGTTGTCGTTCCCGTGATCACAGGGAGCTGGCTGTGTCTTCACAGACGTTACCCCACTCCCGTGGTTGGCCGTCTCCTTCCAAAGTGTGGGGCTGGCGGATCCCTCGATCTGGGCGGTTTTCATGGGTTTCCTGCGCCGTTCCCTCTGGTCGGCTCCGCATCAGTTACTTTTATTCCTGTGGCCCTGTTCAGAGCCTGTACCCAGCAGGTCAGCAGGACTCCCCCCTGGGGTGGACGCAGGGGTCCCAGCTCTAGCTAATGCCCGTCCTGGCCCGTGCAGACGTGTGGTTGTGTAGGATGGTTTCCCCGTGATGAGGACACGCTGGCGGATGGTGACAAACCCGCCCTCCCTGCAGCTCTCGCTCCGCTTTCTGAGACCCGTCGAGGATTCTTTCTCCCTCTGTGTTTTCTGCCCCTTCTGTAACCCCTTCCCCGTCTGCCCTCCCCTCCCAACACACATGCAAACCCCCAAACTTGTCCTTTCCACTGTTGGACTAAAACCTTACCTGACCTAGGCTCCTGGAGCCTTTGATCTGAGCGGCTGATGGCTTTACTGTGGCCTTGAACCTTAGCTTCTGCCACACCGACGGGCTGTGAATTTTATCTCAGTTCAGCTGTTAAAAAATTAAAAATCGTTTAAATAAGTCATTCCTTCTTCCCTTCCTTCTGATTTGTGGGCCTGGAGCTGGTCGGCAGGAGCTAAGTTTACACTCGGACGCTCGCGGAGATCGCGACTAGCGACTGGTCGGGTGGGATGGGGAGAGGGCCCAAGGTGAAGGCTGGACGCAGATCTGTGATTCTGTTTCGACGTAGCTGTGTGTTTAACGTGTCGAGCCCTTGCCTGCCCGGGCCCTCTTTTGCTCTGTGGCATTCTCATTCTCTGGCTGGCATTAGGGAGTGGGGAAAAGTGGAAGGTGGAATCTGTTTCCGCTCGCTCCTTTGTCCCCTTGTCTCTCCCACCTGTTCCACCTGCCCCTGTCCGTGACCAGCTCCACGTGCTGCCTCCTTGATTTCTGTGTTACCCCGACGGCTTTTCTGTGGTCCTCTCGCTTCTCTCTGACCGTCTGTCCCCCTGCCTAGCAACTCCTTTTCTCTCTTCCCGAACCCTCCCAACATCGCCCCTGCCAACGGTTAGCGCAGAATTTGGGGGACACCCTCCCATGCGGGTGGGCTCCAGCCAGTTTATAAAAGTATTTTGTGAAATGAGAAAAGTAGGCCCCTTTCATTTACTCGGCCTCTGAGGCTGTCCTGAGAGAGCGGGTGGTTGGCAGGCCTCTCGGCTGCACCCTGCCCTGGTGGTTATTTCATTAGTTCTCTTATCTGTAGAAGGAGGGACAGTGAAAGGCAGATGCTCAGTGAATGGAAGCTCTTAAACGAAATTGTTTATAATAAAAAGTTCTTGTCGTGCATGAAAGTGGACCAGGGTAATGGACCCCCAAACATACACATCACCCAGATTCAATCTTTTTCAACATTTTGCTGTATTTGCTGTGTACATCCCCTCTTTTTTGCGGTTGCCAGATATATTAAAGCAATTAGAAAACTCCTCGTAGCATCTCGGCCCTGTATGCACCTCTCAAAAATAGGAACGTTTTCTCAGACAACCTCAAAGCCCTCATCCCAGCCAGTGAAAATCTATGGCGGTTGTTAGCAGACTCTAATACCGAGTTTATATTCAAATCGTTTTGATTAAAATGCCGTTTTATTCTTGGTTGGTTTGCAACAGGATCCAAACATTGCTCTTGTATTGCTCTCGTTAATAGCGTCTCCTTTAATCAACAACAGATACCCCTTCCCCCTCTCCCCACACAGGTAGTTGACTTATTGAAGAACCTGGGCCAGTTGTTCTGCAGAACGTTCCACATTCTGGATTTTTCTGTTTGCCGCTTCATGGCGTCGTTTAAGTCACACTTCTGTTTCCTTTATTTCCTCTAAACCAAGAGTGAGCTCTCACCGCTTGGTTAGATTTGGGTCTGCCCTTTTTTTTTGGCCAGAGTCCTTCACAGGGGGAGCCGTGTACTTGGGAGCAGGAGGGACACTGCACGCAGGTGCCACTCTGCGGTTGTGCTCGGGTGTGGTCGGCTCTCAGGTTCATTCCTTTTTCAGTGGCGATCGTGGCCTAAATCGGTTATTTTATCAGGGACTTCCGAAACGGCGAGCTTTGCCTTTATGCTGTTCCTTCCACATTCACCGCTCGGTCTCATCAACTCAAGCTATTCCATTGCCTTTACGTCTCCTTCACGTAGGAAAGGCCCCAGCGACCTTCGCCTCCTGGCGTCCCTGCTGACAGAGATTTTTGCAGATGCAATTAAGGTT